TGGGACTGACTACACAATAGACACCTAACCGTAAAACACCTGATAAGTGAGGCAGGGGTGTAATCCTCAACCTGGTCCGGAATGCGGACGTGTGTAGCCAAAACGGTGGAAACAGCCGTGCCCAACAAGCATTGCCGGAGCCGAATTGTCCATTGCGGGTGAGGACCCCAAGCCTTCGTCAGGCCCAAACCAAACGAATCTGGAGCAAAGAGGCGATATGCAGCAGTCTGGGGTAGTACCCATCTGGAAAAGGGCAAGGAGAGCGGAAAACGGAGCATGCATCAGAAAAACAAACAGAAAAGGAGTGGAAACGAAGAAAGTTGTACTATAATGAGAGGGGATTGGAGTCGACTACAGAACATTAAATCACAAAATATGTAAAAGTATATACCACACAGGATTGTGTTCCACGGACTCTACTTGAGGCTGGTTCCATGTATGGGTGATATTGGGTTAAGAAAGTGTACACAGCTCGCTGGTTAGCGTGTGGGACGAACGAGAACGGATATGATTGAGTGAAATCCGTTCGAGTAGCATGTCGATTACGGAATATTAGGTCACATTACTTGTGAAGGTTTGTACCAGACAGGATTGTGTTCCACGGATCCTGCTTTGAAGCTGGTTCCTTGTACTGGTAATATTGGGTTAAGAAAGTGTACACAGCTAGCTGGTTAGCATGTGCCACAGACGAGGATGGATAGGATTGGGTGAAATCATTTCGAGAAACATGTTGCTTATGGATATTAGGTGACAATACAATTTCGGCGGATATTCTTCGTAAAGCTGGTAGGCGGGGACATGGATCACATACCCCTTATCGATCATTAGGTTCATCAGTTTCACATATCTGTTTCGTAGGGCTTCATCACGTATCAAACGGCAAGTGAGTTGATTCAAACCGACCAACGCCGATTCATAATTTCCCGAACGGGAATAAGTGGCTTTCTTCCACGGAAGAGACAGTACAAAATGACCCCCGGTGAACCGCGTTCCGTTTTTCACTATCCGGATGGCTTCCATCGCAGGTGCACGCCTGTCGGTGACCACATAGTCATCTGAAGGATCTCCTTTCAGCGGATCATTGTACTGGAAGTGGAGTGTCCCAAGCTGGTGTAAAGAATAGGTAGACGAATGCAGGGAGTTTTGCATAGTCCGCGCGTACGGTTATTCTAGATGAGCTCAAGGTTCGCTGCAGATCTAAGAGTTCTTCCCGTTGCTTTTCTTGTAAGTGTCTTAGCTCCATTTCTTGTCGCTCGTTCAGATGACTCTGTTTCAACTGGATCTGTAGAACAAACTCTCTGCTGGTACATACTCGAAGAGTATCGTGACCGGTTATAACTTGCTTTAATTTCCACTGATGTTTATTCGCTTCGACTCAATTGGCTAAACCCTGTGGCACATGTTCACCAGTTAGCAGTGTCCACATACTCAGAAAATGTTCATATCAATACACGGATCCAGCTTCAAACCTAGACTTGTGGAACGAAAGATCAGGAGATGGTGCTTCTAAAAGTACTTTGACCCATTGTTGCTTGCACAATATTATTATTGAAAAAAGTGTATAATTCACGGAGCCCCGTGAGGCATGCATAGGCATGATCAAATGTACAACATAATCCTCCGTAGAGGAGAGGCCCAAAAGGAAAAAAAGTTGAAG